AATGGCTTCCCAGTCAGCTGGTATTATGTGTACTGCCAAATGGTTATTAACTAGAATTTAAGAACTGCAATCCTAAGCTAACATATTTTAAGGAGACAATTTATTTATAACTATACAGAGCAGAATGAATCTTTCAGTTAAAAGGTTATAATCTGTATCCATTATTTATATACTCCAACTTTCACTTCTTGGTCTTTTCAGTGAATATGTTAAACTTGTATAATTTAATCCTAGGTCTTGTCACTATTTTTTCACTGTTTCTTCAATTAGCATAGCTATACCAACTAAAATATTAGCAGTGGACTGGAGCTACATCTGAACCTTACTGTGCTCCTTCTCTAGTAGAAATTACATATAAAACTCAATTTGGTCATTACACAAATGAAGTATCTGCTCTTTTCATAATTTCAAAATTAAAGGCAGTTACAATAGGTAAAGCCTATAAAAATCAAAGCTCCAGCCATGGTAAAAGAGGAAGATCTAATTAAAAACCATGCTCAGATGTACATTTTTCTCTGTCTGCCTATCAGTATCCCTCTGCATGAACTGTATACATGCCTAATATTTGCATTAGGAAGGACACCAATCACTTAAAATTATTTCCTAAAGTAGCTTATGGTATTATCATTAGAATGAGTATTCCATTGGCAGAACAGGGAGATATAAACTGAAACAGCAACTCACTTATTTTACCTCCCTTAAATAACAGGAGCATAATAAAGCTGACTGCAACATCAATTTTCTAAAAGAGTTAAAAAAAAATTACAGGAGAGTCTTACTTATTTTCTGCTCTTTTTCATTTTTCCTTTGTGAGATTTGCCTTTTTAGCTTGTTCACCTCTGCTTGGAAAGATTCAACAGTTCGCTCGCTTTTCTCTACATCTATGCATACTGCCTGGGAGAAACACAACAAGGTTATTTGACTGACCCTGCCCACCTCTGCTGCAGAAGAAACTAGACCAATTTCCACAAACTGTCTAGTACCAACCATCTGTCTAGTAATTCTGGTTAAATGTCTGTTGTACGATTAATGATAAAAAGCACCATAATACAGAGTTCAGGCCTATTGACTTGGAGGTTCTGCAAAGGCATCTTGTTAAAGCGAGCTATACTTCATCAGCTACCTCTTATTGCAAATTATTTCCAAAGTGCATCTCATGGCACAAAGTGGAATGCCGCCATCCAT